GTGCCGGGGGGGGGGGGAGGAGAATGTGTACCCTGCATCATTAAACTGTAAACTGCTCAAGAGAGTGCTTTAAGTACTATGGGGTGGTATATAAGCAGCACACTTTGCATTTCACATTGACCTTGTTTGAAACGGGGGAATATTTTCTTACCCAAGGAGAAAAGTCCAAGAGGGCAGGGAATGAACACCTCCCATGTTCAAAGAAATTTGTCTGTGCAGACTGGAAAAATGTGTTCTAGATACCTGGTGGAGCAGGTAGACATAAAAAATGTAGCCAAAATAAAACTTATATGATTTGTACTACAGGGTATATCATGACTGTGGGGCCAAGTGTGTAGTGGCTAGCGTGAAAGACTATGGTTGAGAAGTTTTTTTCCTAGTCTTGCAAACTCCCTGGGGAATAACAAGAGAAAACCACTCCTTACATACCTTGAAAACCCGATCAGGGTGCATATAACACATCATGACGCCAATCAATGCCAATGGACCTCCGTGGAAGGAATTTCAATGGTCATTACATGTAAATAGGCCAGTTCTGTTTTCGTGCACTCCATGAACTCCCTACATTTATAACTCCACTTCCACAAGGATTTTGCAACTTTGCAGGGTGAAAATACCCCACCGTCAGGTTAGTGGGTTAAATATTATTGAAACGCCTTTGGAAAGAAATCCACAAGGTCCTCGAGTCAATTCTGCCGAACCTACGGCCCTCTCCCCCTTTCCATCGAAAGGGTCTTCTCTGGGGCGGCTAAGCAGAGCTCACATTTAAAACAACAAAGTAAGCATTTTATTTCCATTAAAGCACATTTTAGTATCACAATGGAATGATGAGAAAAATGTTTTAAAAAAAAGGGGGGGGAGGGAAAACCCAGTCCGCCAGTCTCTTTCTCGATCCCCTCCAACAGCACGGAGACGTCAAGGCAATTTAAAAAAGACGGGAAATGTCTCCTGGATGGGAAGGGAAGGAAGGGAGGCAGGCAGGCAGGTGGAATGATGGGCAGATGGGGGAACACCCAAAGTCCTCTTTGGTGCTTCTGCCTCATGACTGATGCGCAAAACTAGTCACCGAAACCTGCAGATGCCACTGAATGCCACGGGATTAAGACAACAAGGAACCTCAACACATCCAGTGAAGGAGACGGGCCCGCAGGGGGTGGTGGTGGTTAAGGCACCGTGCAGCTGACTCCGCTGCGGGGGCCAAGGTGGAAGGGAAGGCGGACGGGGCTCAGCACGCGACTCCGCATGCCCCCCCCACAAAAGAGGCGGCCCCTTGCAGGCCCAGTGAGACCCAGGAGCAGAGGCAGTGCCATCACCGCCAGGGGTACGGATCGGCCTCTTGGCAGCGATTCGGGTGGAGTCCAGGTCCAAAAACTATAGTTTCACCGTCCCCGGAGGCAGGCTGTCGTTGCAGAGTCTGTAGTAGCGCAGGTCATTGACCAGCCGGTGCACGTTCTGCGTAAACGAGGGCAGGTCCTGGAAAGGGAAGAACATCCGGTGGAAAGAGGTTACGACGGAAGTGGAACCGATACCTGCGGTGCCAAGGAGGGCATGAGCCGCCCTGCAGCCACTTGCTCCACACAAAGGGTGCATGCGCAGGGGGGGGGAATAGTCATGGGTCTCCAGATGCGCTTGGACTACAACTCCCAGAAATCCTGGCCAGCACTGCGGTTGGTGAAGCGTTTGGGGAGCTGTAGTCCAAGAACATCTGGGCACCCCAGATTGGGAACCTCTGCTCTCCTGAAACAAAAGAGTCTTCTATGACCTCAAAAAAACAACTTCTCTTTGGCACAAGGCTCGGGCTGCTCTCCTGAAACAAAGAGTCTTCTATGACCTCAACAAAACAACTTCTCTTTGGCACAAGGCTCGGTAGACAAGCAGCAGCCCATTTCACAAAAACGTGTATCCTATAAACTGATTCGGCTTGAAGTGTAAGACACGTTGCTGTTTCCACTCAAAAGGTTTTTTTTTAACGCTAGCAACGAGATGACCTAAGCATGTCAATGCACCTTTTTGTTTGTTTGTTTCATTCTCTGTTCATGTCAGAAAACAACCCAAGGGGGGAAAGATCAGCCCGCCCCCCAGTTTCCTACTGCTGGCAGAGGGTGTCCACCTGCGTTCACACGGGGGGGGGTGTCCCTTTTTTCACGAAGGCCCGCCCCGTGACATTTTGATCATCCGGGGCCACTGTCTTCAGTGGCTTCCCATGAGTTTTTGTCCGTTTCTGAGCAAAAAAACTCACTTTACGTTGGCCATGAAATTTCAGGTGGAAAAGGCAGAGAGTTTAAGGAAAGGGTACGTATTTATGGTAACGAAAGCGAGCAGATGATACGCAAAGGTCTCGAGGCAGAACCGTGAGAGGGCAAAGTGTGACTGAGGCACTGGAGCTGATGCGAGAACATTCTGCACGCAGAGCACAGGTGCTGGGAGACGGGTCTTCCTGCCCCCCTAGGAGGTGCAGATCAGGGGTAAAGCACCAAAGACCCTTGGGGGGGGTTAAACCCCTGGCATTTTCAATGGAAAACAATCCGGGAGCAGGCAACCGGGAAAGGCCCTCCTTGAGACACCCGTAGTCCTGAACCCACCAGTGCCAATGACCATTGAATGAAGAATTGGAGACGGTGAGGATGGGACAGTAAATTCAGCAGAGGGACCGGGCATAGAGCTAAGAGGTCAGAACATCAAGAAAGGTCTACGGAAGGGGGGGGAGATCGGCAGGGTAGACAGCTTACACAAAGTAAACCCAGGCCAAGCAATGGCCCCTCCTCACCCTGTCCATTTTGAAGTTCCTTCCAAGGACGCTCTTCTGGTTGGGATCTATCCCGTCGCAGCTGGCTAAGAACTCCGGGAGGAAAGCCGAGTAGAAGCTGTCAAAGTCCACGGAGGCCATGTTGTAGATGGCAATGCCGATCTCCTCTTGCAAGAGGTCGTGGGATTTATGAACCAGTACCTGGAGCAGCACATTCACAAACTGGAAAAGCATGGCTGTCCGGAAGATCTTCTGCAGGGAAAAAAGGAGGAGGAGGAGAAAGGCTCTCGTTATGCCATGGTCCTCACCTGAAAAGCGGCTGCCGTGGGGTCCGGTGGGCAGGGGGACACTCTGGAGGAACTGAAGAGACACTCCTGAAATGTCCTCTTTTGGTCTCTTAGCCTCTTCCTAGACACTGGTTTCCAGTGGCACATGGTAGCTCAATTTGGGGGCACTTCTGTGCTACAAGAGCGTCTGTTCAGCTGCATCCATGTTAAAATGGGAGTGCAAAAAGCCAAAGGCCACTCAATTTCTATTTCCCAGCTGAGCACACCTGCTCTATCAAGCTTGCACAAGACTTAAAATGGCAAATCAAAATGTGGCTGTTGTGAAGTGAAATGGAAGGGCTGCAGCCTGATCGGGAGTGTGTGAGCACAGAGAGGTTTTTTTTGTTTTTTGTTTTTGTTTTGTTTAGGAGTTTGTGAGCACAGAGAGGTTTTTTTTGGCTGTTCTCTGACATGGCCTTCAATGCGCCTGGTCTTCTATAAGGTGCTGGAAACAGAGGACTATAGGCATGCAAAACACAGCTCTTTTGAGCACGGTGCTCCACACCACGAGGAGCCATTACTGTGAAGCATGGTTTGCTTTCCATTAGCACATAGGCTACCTGCTTATCTTCCACTGGCCAATTCTGTTGCCAGCTCGGGCAAGACAATACAAGTCAGGACTGCAAGCTTCCCAAATGTAGGGAGCAACCGCAGCACAAACGGCACTGTCCTGTATGCGATCCTGCCTGGGACCGAGGTGGGAGAGCAGCAATCTCTAGCCTGTGGTTCGACCCGGACTCTCTTCTGCTTCGCTTTGTGTAGGACGAGCTCCCAATGACACCCATGTTTTCTTTCATACGGTTAAACAGCAAGGATGTGCGCTCACCTTATGATATAACTTCTGCTTGGTGTTCAGCGTCTCCAAGTAGAACAGGTTCTGCTTGAACAGGTGTATGTCAGGCTGCAGGAAGGACTGGCCAAACGCCTAGAAAACAGAAGGGCTCTCAGGAAGATGTGGTTGCACGTTGGGGCTGTTAGCCAACAAAAGACCGAATATTTCCCCAACAGGTAATTCCCCATTTCTGGCACCTCCATGATTATGGCGGTGGTTAAACTGCGATACTGCGGTCAAGACTCTGCTCACCACTCAAGTTCCATCCTGATGGGCTCAGATAGCCAGCTCAAGGTTGAATCACCCTTCCATCCTCCCAAGATCAGTAAATTGAGTACCCAGCTTGCTGTGTCCGTGTGTGGGACTGTGTAGCCCCCATAAATACGTTGCAGACAGCCCAGAAAGTGCTTTAAGTGCTGTGGGGCAGCGTGTGTGGGACTGTGTAGCCCCCCATAAATATGTTGCAGACAGCCCAGAAAGTGCTTTCAGTGCTGTGGGGCAGTATATAAGCGACCCCACTTTGCTTTGCCTTGCCTACATCGCCTCCTCTTACAACACTGCAAATGTGCAGTAAAAAAGAACCTTGAAGCCTGGAAGTGCAGCATTCAAGCCATCCGAAGCTTCAAAGAAGAATGGTGAGTCAATAATGACCAGATAGGCGGGGTATAAATAGAATGAATGAATGAATGAATGAATGAATGAATGAATGAATAAATAAATAAATAAAGGGGCTTCCTCAAAGTTAGCCGCTTCAGCAACCAGCCTTGCAAATTAAGGCCCTGTTTACCTCCTCAACGACCAATCACAAAACAAAGCACTCTAAATATTTAGTGAGACTCCTCTAGTGTGTCCCTTATGACTGTTCTTTTAGAGCACCGATCTCAGTGACTGTCACTGGTTTTACCCTTCCCTTCCACTAGGGATAAAACATCGCCATTATAGGTCAAACGGAGCACAGCCAAACAGCAGAACCTGGGCTTTACTGAAAAGAAAACATCTCCTTCGGCATTTCTAGCGGGAGTTAAATTTTAGAGCAAGGGAATGGCTTTTCCCCCGTAAGGAACCCAGCTGGAACACAACGCTCTCTGAACAGCCATGATGTAAGGATCCTCGTGGTAGAGCTATTTTTTAAAATGCAAAAATCTCACTTCCTTGTGTTTAGAGGTGGAGATAAACAGCGGCACAGAGGCAAGTAACCGGATCCCTCTCTTTAAGTTGAGAGGAAAACAGGACCTTTTCAATTCTCCTAGGATCTCCGGAGAGTGAAAGGAGGGCCAGGGAACGGAGGCTTGACCCTGACCTCGGCAGCAGTTAAGGAGACCACAGCCTGGCTGGATGCAGGCATCCCGTGCCAGGGAAAACATTCAGAGAACATCAAACAGAAGCCTCTTTTCCAAAGATCATGACCCAGGTGGCAAGGCCAAGGACCAGACGCACTTGGCGTGGAACCGATTCGCCAATGAAAAAAGCAGGCAGGCAGCGCAGCTGTTTAGCAATACTGTTGCTTACAAATTAACAGAGAAATCATCTCTGGGTCTGGGGAGAAGGAAAGTGGGATAGTGGAAATCTGGCTCCTCAGCCACTGCCCAGTAGGGCAAGAAATGACAGAAAGCAAAACAAAACGCTTACAAAACTTCCCAAACAACTCTTTGTGATTTTAACAGATTCACAACTAGAGATGGGCATGAATGGCAGTCTGGCATCGTTTTGTTTCCCGGCTGATCCGCGGCTTGGCGCCCCGCCTGCTCCAGCGGGTGCCCATTCAGCAGCCAGAAGGGGTCGGGGCGCCTAACTGTGGATCAGCCGTTCGGCCAGGGAACAAACCCCACCCCACCACGGTTCGTGGGCATCTCTATTCACAACGATATAGGAAGAAATCTGGATGCAGAGAACATGTCAGTGGACTTGAGAGATATCTTCTCTAACAACAGGCTGCTTGGGTATCTGGGAGTTCGATTCCCCCACTGTGTCTCCGGGGGGGGGAGCCAGCCTGGGTGGCCTTGGGCAAGCTGCACAGTTCCACAGCACCCCCTAGTGGAAGGGAAGGGTAAAACCACTTCTGAGTATTCTCTACCTGGAAAAAGTTGCCATAAATCAGAACTGATTTGACAGCACGTGGTCATTACTTAACTATGTATTAATGAAAGGTGTTGGTGGTTGAATTAAGCACTGGCCCCAATAAGTGCTTTGATATTTTCAGAGCTTTGTTGGCACAAGTCATTGTCAGCCTACGGTTACCTTTCAGAAATCGGTACGGTCCATCAACGAAAACATGGCTGCATTTTTAAGCACTTTCTAATCTGAAGAGATCTTGGAAGTGTATCAAGTTTGCAACATGGATTTCAGCATGCATGCACTGCAAATCTGGATCCTCAATATTTAACTATGTATTAATGAAAAGTCCTAGTGGTTGAATTAAGCACTGGCCCCAATAGGTGTTTTGATATTTTCAGCTTTATTGGCCTTTATTGGCACAAGTCATTGTCAGACTTACGGTTACCTTTCAGAAATCGGTATGGTCCATCAACCAACACATGGCTGCATTTTTAAGCACTTTCTATCTGAACAGATCTTGGAAGTATATCAAGTTTGCAACATGGATTTCACCATGCATGCACTGCAAATCTGGATCCTCAAAGCTGCCCCTAGAAGAGGTCAGCTGACCAGGAATGCCAACGAGGGGCCTAAGGATCAGGCGG